GTCTGTCTGTCTGTCTGTCTGTCTGTCTGTCTGTCTGTCTGTCTGTCTGTCTGTCTGTCTGTCTGTCTGTCTGTCTGTCTGTCTGTCTGTCTGTCTGTCTGTCTGTCTGTCTGTCTGTCTGTCTGTCTGTCTGTCTGTCTGTCTGTCTGTCTGTCTGTCTGTCTGTCTGTCTGTCTGTCTGTCTGTCTGTCTGTCTGTCTGTCTGTCTGTCTGTCTGTCTGTCTGTCTGTCTGTCTGTCTGTCTGTCTGTCTGTCTGTCTGTCTGTCTGTCTGTCTGTCTGTCTGTCTGTCTGTCTGTCTGTCTGTCTGTCTGTCTGTCTGTCTGTCTGTCTGTCTGTCTGTCTGTCTGTCTGTCTGTCTGTCTGTCTGTCTGTCTGTCTGTCTGTCTGTCTGTCTGTCTGTCTGTCTGTCTGTCTGTCTGTCTGTCTGTCTGTCTGTCTGTCTGTCTGTCTGTCTGTCTGTCTGTCTGTCTGTCTGTCTGTCTGTCTGTCTGTCTGTCTGTCTGTCTGTCTGTCTGTCTGTCTGTCTGTCTGTCTGTCTGTCTGTCTGTCTGTCTGTCTGTCTGTCTGTCTGTCTGTCTGTCTGTCTGTCTGTCTGTCTGTCTGACCCTTATAGACTCGGAAACTACTGAACCGATTGGCGTGAAAATTTGTATACAGGGGTTTTCGGGGCCGTGGAAGGTTCTTATGATGGTTAGAGACCCCTCCCCCTTATGTAAGGGGGGGGGGGCTCTCATACAAATGAAACAGAAATTTCTGCATAACTCGAGAACTAATCAAGCAAATGGAACCAAATTAGGCATGTGGGGGCGAGTGTGGGGGTATAAGGAGATAATCATAGGGGGTAGCCCCTTAGATAATAGGGGGGGGGGGGGCTACGTACAATATAGCATGCTTTTTTTTAAATCGGCGCATAAACTCAAGCTAATATTGAACCCCGAGCAAGACCGGGCACACTCAGCTCGTATGTTATAAAAACTGAAAAAATAAATAAATTTTGTTGAACAGTCATATTAAACGCTGCGTATCTCAAAAACTAAGGAATATAGAGGATTTGTGTATCCAGCAAAGATTGTTGTAGTAAAATTATCTACAACTTTGCTGAAGACACCACATACCTATCTTGTAAATGTAAAAAGTAAGATTTTGCAGCACCATGGGGTGGAGTTCCGAACTAAAAACTATCACTAGTCTTTGCGCCTTATTTTATACAAAAACTCTTTTAAAGACATCATAGTGAAAAAACCGACATTGATGGCGCAAATAAAAAAGTTCGTGATATTGAGCATTCAAACCACTGTGCACTAGCTCGAAATAGCGTTTCAGTTAAGTGTAAAATTGTTTTAAAGACTTCCGATTTCGCAAAGGTTGATTTAATTGAATCCAACTTAAATATTGAGTTAAACTGCAAAGGACCATCCAATTTTACACGACTTACTTCTCGTCAGCAAAATGTAGCTTCAATTCAATCTTGCTCATCGTAAGTAAATCGCAGTGTATGATCATAAACAAACGCAAACTGCCAATTCATGGCATTCAATTACACCTAGATAGAAATCCCGATTCCGAACACGAACCGGCAGCGTGTGTGACGATAAAATTTGTGTGTGCACTCACATCACATAGGATGCTCCCGTGTTAACCTCCTACCTACTACTACCTGTACCAAGCAACGGGGGCAAGCCAAGCAAAACAGGATATTAGCAATATCGATACCTTTACTGCTACTCCTCCCCCTCCCCCATCCATAATGTCTGCGCCGGCGAAGATTCGAATGGGAAACAGAAGCCCTGCGCGCCATGGTGAGAGCAATAAGAACCAAATTAGCCGGAAGTCTACTGCCTACCCACTTTATTCGTGTCTGCCGTTGCGCTGATGTATCATCATTGGCGTCGTACCTACATCGTAAAAAAAAAAAACGAACAAATTTGGCAATTTTTCGCCGCATGCTACGCCGTGAACCCTAACGGTAATTTAAAGTGATTCACTGGTTGATCCAAGCAACCTTAGTCTCCCACCTGGACTGGGGATGTGGTTTCTGCGGTTGCTAGGTTAAGATGATGAATTCGTCAATCAGGGCTTTGATGGGTCCTTCAAATTGTAAACATTCACTTCCGGTTTCTTCCCGTAAACATTTGCTTCCCGCGCATTGCACACAGTTGGTGCGTGGGAGAGAAAGGACGAGGCGAGAGAATCCTAATGGGTTTCCCATTTGGTGCCTGGGTGATTTATGAATGAACTCAGGCATCAGGATCCTTAGACGATGAGAACCGACCGACGGCGCGCCCTAACTGGCTGGCTGTAGGAAATCCTTGAAAATGTAGGCGTCCAGCTGTGAGAAAACACTTCTCACGACACGCCAAATGCCGGGCCCGAATATGATGCGAATGTGACGAAGAGCAAAACCGACTAGGCCAGCAGACTAATAGTTCTGTTGTTTTCCTTGCCTTTTCATGGCATCCTCCGGTCGTTGGTGGCGGCAATTCTTGGAAGGTTTTACTTTTTTAGCTTGGGTTCGGTTGGTCAGAATTGGAAACGAACACACCAGCAGATAAGAAAGCGGTTGTAATTCGGTACCAAATTAAAAAAAACGTGGAAGGACACGGCAAAACCCTTATCAAAGCTCCGCACAAATTGATTCCGTTACTATCGTTGCCGTTGGCGATTCGGATAGCGGTATCTAGTCAGGTCGATTCTCTTCTTTTTTGTTGCTGCGACAACGAATCGGATTTCTTTCGAACCTTGGCTGAGTAAGGAGCTGTTGTTGTACAACAATAAGCTTGTCTCTTTGTGCAGGTCGTTTCAGAAAATCGATTCTCCGATTGCTTCGTTCCGATTTTTTTCCTTGGAATTGATGATGTCTTTATTGAGGGCTTATTCATCAATCAGTTGCCGAGGCGATTCACGGCCAAGTTGATCACGAAGCTTATTCGTGAACAGAACTTGCGAGTGCATATTGTTGTCACCGTCGTCCATCGAATCCGGTTATTCCAGTTCAACAAACTTACGTGCTATTTTTAGCTCCAAACAAACAGTCTTCCCTTTTGTCGGGTATATGCTTGAACCGTTCGCCGAAAGCGAAATCTTCGAAGTCAATAAATTTTTCGTCCACTCGAGAGTGAATCTCGGCGCGTGTACGTTCCACTACTGGTGATGAATCAGAACCATTTCCAAAGAAATTCGCACAATCCGTTGGTAAACGATCTAAGGCTACAGCAATCATGAATCATGCTTCTGTTGGCTTGCTGCCGGCTACATCAGTTCAGTGCGATAAAATGCACACCCGACGAGTACGTGCCGTATTGGCCGTGCACAGCATAAGAACGTCGCCATAGTCGTCGTCGTCGTCGTCGTGGTGGAAGAAGTCGTCGAATCTCTCTGCCTGGCTTCGCCCAAAGGGTATTCGATTTCCAATCGAAGTCAACCGGTGCGGTGGTTTTGCTGCTTCTACTGGCACACTTTGATCCCCCAACAGGTAGAGTGAATGACACTTTGTTTTTCTCTCAGCTTCTAATATGTGTGTCACTCACAAGTGTCTCCACGGGGCAAAGCTGCTAGGGTTCGAAACTCGTTTTTTTTATTTGTCGCGTTTGCTTCATTACTTAGCACCGTGTATTTCACAAACTCACGCACACACCAGGTCGATGTAAACATCGCACCTCTCCCACTTGGGATTGATTGGCGGTATGTTGTTGTTGTTGTTGTTGTTGATGATGTTGCGCTCAACTGTGTCGTAGATTCGATTGAGTTGCCGTGGAAAACTTGTTTCTTTTCGTGATCGGAACGAATCTGACCGGCAATTTTGTTGTTATTTTCGATTCTTTGAAGATGCAACAAGATTTTGTTTTGAGTTTGTAGGAGTGGAGTTTATTTCGATTGGATGATCTCATTTGATTAGAACGGATTTGTTACCAGCTTTGCATTGGAAGCTTTAGGCTTTCATGATTAATAGGGCTTGAATGCCCTCAATGTGATCTTTAAAAGATATGTTTTGGTCAAGTACTAATCCAAGATATTTCACTTGACTTGACCTAGAAATTGTAGCTCCGTTTATAGTGAATATGTGACTACGTACTACTAGGTTTCAAAAAGGAAGGACATATTCTCAATTATTATATTAATCATTACCTAGCGTAACATTTGAAGGGCCTATTATCTTGTGTAAACAAAACTTGTATGGCCCTTTTCACGCCAACTGAAGTAGGAGGAATTGCAAAACTTAACTAATTCTCGTTTTTATCACAAAGCTAACTCTTTCGACTGAAGTGTAATGAAGAATATCCCTCAAACACTTCCGAAAACGTTTTTTGATACAAAACAGTGTCAAAATCTAGAGAAATTTCATGGCATTAATCAACTCTTTATTCATCAGAACAACACTATCAGAATGAAACAGGGGAAGCTCATAAGTTTTGACAGGCGCACCGGCGCAACCATCGGTAATTGAGAGATTTACAACTGACAAGAGATTTAAAGCGAGCTTTTGCGCTCTCTTTCTCCATTACTCTTTTTGCTGCAATCAGATATCCAAGTGCACAGCCAGAAATGCACGCCCATACATCACAAATGTTCTTCTAATTTAAACTCACACATTCAAACCGGTCTGCAAGTATGATAACGTCCAAAGTATAGATGGGCGATCCACTCCCGAGCTATTCTAAAGAGCCGATTCACTAAAGTGAGCTGATGATCCGCGGTTCATTTTTTTAGGAACCGCAGCTCATCAGCACACGTGACGTAAACCGGATTTTTTTTCAAAAAACTACAAGGGACAGCCCTATGGGGTTGTACGCAATGGTGACGTAGGACTACGTTACACGTTATATAATAAATGGTAATGTGTATCTTTATTCAGCCAGGTATTAATCTGAACCATATTTTAATTATTTTCCTTACCTAATTTTTGTATTTTAATTTTCTGTTCTATTTACTATCGTACAGATTTGTCTTGAATCTGATGAAATATTGCTTGGAGCTAATGCCCATGATTGTGCTGGGTAATTAAAATTTTTATTCAACAGATTGCGTTCAACGTATCCACATCGTATAATGGCCGCACCAAGCAGACCGCTCGTAAGTCCACCGGAGGAAAGGCTCCTCTCAAAAAGATGGAGGAGTGAAGAAGTCTCATCGCTACCGGCCAGGAACTGTCGCTCTGCGTGAGATCCGTCGTTACCAGAAATCGACCGAGCTGCTGACTGCAAGTTGCCTTTCAAGCGTCTGGTCCGTGAAATCGCCCAGGACTTCAAGACCGATCTGCGCTTCCAGAGCTCGGCCGTTAATGGCCCTACAGGAATTCAGCGAGGCCTATCTGGTCGGTCTGTTCGTCATCTATGCCAAGCGTGTTACAATTAATTCATGTTCCATCTACGTCAAAACCGTACGGTCGTGTCATGGATGCAACCTCTTATTCTTTTTGTCAACATTATTTTCATAAGGCAAATCAACTAATTTCTTATCGCGAACTTTGCTAACGCTGCTTTCGAACATTTAAAAGTTCAATAAATCATCAAAATCTCTTTCACGTTGGAAATCGATTTGTGGCCCTGAAAAGGGCTGATTGATTGTTTGGATGGTACGAATTTACTTGGAGCTAGTGTACTTGGTGACGGCCTTGGTTCCTTCAGAAACAGCGTGCTTGGCCAACTCACCCGGCAGCAGCAGACGGACAGCAGTTTGGATTTCGCGGGAGGTGATCGTCAAGCGTTTGTTGTATTGAGCCAGACGGGACGACTCAGCAGCAATACGTTCGAAGATGTCATTGACGAAGCTGTTCAAGATGCTCATGGCCTTCGACGAGACTCCGGTGTCCGGGTGGACCTGCTTCAACACCTTGTAGATGTAGATGGCATAGCTTTCTTTCCTGCGCTGTCTCCTCTTCTTCTTCTCTCCCTTGACGATGACTTTCTGTGCCTTTCCGGACTTCTTGGCGGCCTTTCCACTGGTTTTCGGTGCCATAATTTAGCTGTTCGCTTCGGTAGAGGATAACTGATAGTTGTTTCAACGGTGGTGTCTCGTTTTGTGCCTGTAGCATAAGAAGCGAAACTCCTCCCCTTTTCAGTATTTTGCTTCCCACTGCATGTATTGTACCCTCCCTGTATTAATAATATGCTACTCGACGCAGGTATAAGTATACCCTCGATGAGTGAAATAAACCGACCTATCTGGTCGGTCTGTTCGCCATTCACGCCAAGCGTGTCACAATTATGCCAAAGGACATTCAGCTTGCTCTTCGTATTTGTGGTGAACGCTCTTAATTTTTCCGTCGAAATCTATCAAAACCGGCCCTTTTCAGAGCCACTAAAAGATTCCACAAGAGAGTTGGGAAGGAAAATTCTGCTGCTTACAACTGATCGCATCACAGTGAATCCTGATCTAAAAATTGCAACCAGCAAGTGCCCTAGAACCAAGGGTTTAGAAGCAGAAGGGTGAAAGCCAATTCGCTTTTTCGATTTCCTCTTTTGTGATGACCATAGCTTCCTATTTCGCACTATTTCTGCTATGCTCTTCTGTCATCCACAACAATAAACGTATCAATGAAGGTGTTTGCCGTCGAGTTAACGTTATTTGACCGTGCACTTCGTAGTTGCTCCTCCGTGAATGATCACAACTAATCCACTTGCACAGAGAACTACATAAATGGGTGCATGGGATAAGCTTTCCATCTTCAATGTACAAGCACATTAATTCATTCTATAGATCAATTCACAGCGCCGGCCACGTCCTCCCGGTCTTTTGGGGAGGGAAGGATGATTAGTTCGACGTCCGGTTATTACTAGAGACCGAGAATACCTCTACATCTCCACGGCTATCTCGGGAAGGATAGAATAAGGCAAAGTGAAAAATTGCAAGGGGGGGGGGGGGGGGTAGGGGATTGAACTCCCTACCTTCTGCTCAGTAAGCAGAAACGGTAACCACTGAACTACAGAACCTCGTCGTAATGCTATATCGACATGTTTCGTCTACTTACTACTCTCTGACGACTGTGCTGGGGAAGGAGCATATGCATGTACGTAATTGGTGGATTTGTTAATTATTTCGACGCTTTTGGACAATGCTTGACATTTACTACTTTTTCAATAGTTTCTTGTTGAACATAAACAGTCAACAGCATTGATATCGGTGATAAAATTATTGAAATTGGTTCAGGGGCAGCTGAGTTATTAACGTTCAAAATCTTTCATAATTTGTTACATGTTCCATTTTTAGTTTTTACAAAGTGTACCCCCATATAGAAATCAAAGACGTAGTCCTACGTCAAAAAACACGCGTTGCTTCTTTACGCATTGAACAGTCACCGCGTAAACCAAGATGCGCGCGTAATTCAACAAGTGCATACTGATTGATATCATCAACCGTAAAATCAAACTTCCAAGCGGCTGTATGGGAGAGAGAGAGACATATGTACATGTGTTACACGATGTTAAATTTCTACTGGTATTATCCAATGTATTTACGTACCCAGCTTCTATTGCTGATGTTATTCCTCCAGCATATGTGCTCTCACCTCTCCTCCCATCATTCTCTGGGGGAGCGGAAGATCCGCAGAAAAGCAAATACCCGAAAAGATAAGTGCAGCTCTACAGCTTAGCAGCTCATCTCCGGATCCGAATCATCGGCTAGAATGATTCAGTGAGATGACAGCTGTCGGACCCGTCCAGCTCTTCGGATCTTTTTCTCTCTCGATTCTTCACGATTCAGCTCCGGATCCGGATCTGAGCTGATGATCTAGAGCTGAAGCCGAGAATAGAGAGAGCTCCGCTTCGCTAATGCACGCTCTGCTCTGAATACACCATTAGACTTATGATATCAGTGAGCTGATGAGCCGCGGATCATCAGCTCACTTTAGTGAGTTGGGTCTATAGAGCACCTCGGGAGTCCATCTCTAGATCTGAGCTGAGGCCGAGAATAGTGGGAGCAATTGTGCTGGAGAATCAAGGTGGATTCCGTCCTAAGCGATATTTCACGCGTGGAGTGCTCCGCTCTGCTAATGCAAGCTCTAATCTGAATACACCATTAGACTTATGATATCAGTGAGCTGATTAGCTGCGGTTCCAAAAAACGAACCACGGGTCATCAGCTGACTTGAATGAATCGGGTCTAAAGAACAGCTCGGGAGCCCATCTCCAGATCTGAGCTAATGATCTGGAGCTGAAGCCGAGAATAGTGAGAGCAAATCTGCTGAAGAATTAACATCAGAAATAAAATCTGTATGTAGACTGGATTACATAGCTAGAGAAAAGGCGTAACATCGTGTAACACGATGTCGATCATATCATCGCGTTTGAAATGTGTGTAAAAATTTCTATAATTTAAAGGTGAACTGAAGAGCTGTTCAAAAGAATCGACTCCCTTTAATCAGCTGGACGGGTCTGATCCGCTCAGCCAGACGAGCTATTTTGCCCACCTCTAGTCCAAAGCGTACCAGACTGCTGTTTCCGTGTTGCCCCCGTTTGACGCGTGACTGCTGAAAGTTTCAATTACAACTAGTGGTGCAAACCGCCATGTATTGCGGAAAATTTGTGGTATGTTTCAAGAGGTGATAGAAGGTCTGCTTGGCTTACATCAGGCATTTGACCATTCACAAACTTACCACCGCCTCCAAAAAAACCTCGCTTTTAGGTACAATATTTAACGAGTTTTGTCATGGGAGTGATATCGACATGCTTAGAAATCAATGCATTAGGGATCAGGCAGACTATCCGAACTGAATTCAATCCTTTGTGAAGCAAACCAAGGTCGAAGATTTAATTGAGCCACATTATAAAATAGTGTATTCATGGTCACTTGTGGTCTGGAGTAAAGAAGTACAGCTATAATGTGACCATGAAATCTATACAAATCTGTGGAGGCGACGCCACTGAATATTATGGAAGTTGAGTTGGGAGAAATCTTCCATTTTTGTAAATAAGAGAAGAAAATAGAGGAAATGGCTCTAATGTTGGCCTATGAATCTAAGATTGGGCCGATCACTGAAAATCTGCTGTTTATAAATTTTATTTAGATTAACGCGTCATTGAGACGGTACTAATGGATATTTTTGGAAGCTATTGAAAATTTAGTCGATTGCTGAATTTATGTATGGGCCCAAATTAGGGGTATTTAGGCCGACATTACATCCATTTCCCCTATCTAAACTTTTCTGCAGTCTGTTGCAAATAACACGAAAACTACTTCCTTTAGCGAAAATGCCTGTGTCATCGGCGAACAAAGATTTGTGGCAACCCTGAGGCAAATCAGGGAGGTTCGAAGTGAAAATTTTATACAATATAGGCCCAAGAATGCTACCCTGAGGAACTCCAGCTCCAACAAGTAGTTGATCATATTTGGAATTTTGATAATTTACCTGCAGAGTTCTGTCACTTAAACTAGGTTTGAACTAATTTCATAATATAGAATGGAAAATTAAACTTTTTCAATTTGGCAATAAAGCCTTCATGTCAAACACTGTCGAATGCTTTGTTTATGCCAAGAAGAGCAACTCCAGTTGAACAGCCTTCAGATTTGTTTGAACGAATTAAATAGGTAACTCTTAAGAGTTGATGAGTAGTTGAATGCCCATGGCGAAATCCAAGATGCAGCAGGCACGAATCATTCGTAAAGTGGAAAATCCGACGGGGTGGGTCCACCACATGACCATTGTGGAGAAACCGAATGGATCGATAAGAGTGTGCCTTGATCCCTCAGAATTGAAGGGATTTTCACCAAATTCGAACTTTGGAGGATCTTGCGTCGACGTTGTGTGGTGCTGAGTTTTACACTGTGCTGGATCTCAAGGACGGATTTTATCATCTTGAGCTGGATGACGCATCTAGTGATATTTGTTTGTTCAGCACCCCGTTTGGAATTTTCAAATTCTTGAGGCTGCCGTTTGGATTGAATGTTTCAGTAGAAATGTTCCAAAAGTGGAATGAATATTTTTTCGGTGATATCGGCGGAGTGATTATTTATATGGACGATATTTTGATCACGGGGAGGACACGCGAGGAGCATGATCGACGTCTTCGCGCAGTGTTACGAAGGGCTGCTGAGGTGAACGCCAAATTTAATGCTAAGAAAATTCAGCTGAGAGTACAGAAGGTGAAATACGTGGGGCATATTTTTTCGAAGAACGGAATGGAGCCCGATCCAGAACGCACAAAGGCAATTACGGAGATGGAAACACCTAGGAATGTGAAGGCGCTTCAACGTTTTCTCGGCTCAATAAATTACCTCCGAAATTTTCTTCCACGTTTGTCTGAAGTCTGAAGATACAGTGGCTGCCTATCCCTACAGAAGCGGTTAACCGAATAAAAGATTTGATAACCAAGGCACCAGTTCTGAGCATTTTCGATGCTGAGAAGGAAGTGACTATCCAGGCTGATGCATCCAAACGTGGATTGGGTGTGTGAAGGAAAACCGGTAGCATACAGTTCGAGAAGCTTATCACCGAGTGAGCAGAACTATGGGCAAGTGGAGAAAGAGTTCCTGGCGATATTGTTTGCATGTAAGAAGTATCATCAATACATCTATGGTCGAGATGTTAACGTGCAGACGGATCATAAACCGTTGGTTGCTTTGATGCAGAAACCAATTTCAAAAATTCATGCATCGAGACTTCAACGAATCAAAATGAAGTTACCCAGGTACAATCTTAAGTTATGTTATGTCCCAGGAAAGTACATGTATTTGGCAGATTTTCTTTCCAGAGCATTCGTGACTACGTCGTTCATACCATTAACGTTTCCGAGGACAGGATCGCAGAATTTCAAAATGAAACCAGCAAGGATCCAATTCTGTCTAGGCTAAAGCAGCTATATTTGGAAGGTTGGCCTAATGATCGGTCCAAATTACCTGAGGAGCTACGATACTATTGGAGGTTTAAAGACCAGCTTAACGAAGACAACGGATTCATATTCAATGAGGATAGGATTTTTGTGCCTTATAGTTTGAGGTGTCAGATATTAGATTTGCTGCATGAAACTCACGGAGGAATAACCAAAACCAAAAA